GATGCTTTTTTTGCCGATTTGAACTTGGACGACGAGGATGTTGCCATTAAGTGTTTTTCTTGCCTATCTGAACTACGACGATGTTCATGTTGCCATGATGTGTTTTACCTGCCTATATTGAACTAAAAGTGTGACTCCGGAGCAGTTTCCTCTTAAAGCATTGTCCTTTCGGGACATCCGTTACAATTGGAACGATACTGAGAAAGAGTAGATTAGCATGCCCCCTCCGCAAGGATGACACGCAATAACTATACCGTCTGCGCAAGCATGACACGCATAAACCGAGAAATGGTCCCAAAAAAAAAAAAAAAAAAAAAAAAAAAGCATTTTCATGCGAAGTTGGTAAGAAGTTACTCAAAAACGGAAAGGAAAAAAAACATTGACAACTGCGTCGTCGTAGCACGGTGCGACTGATGCCGAACGCTAACCAACTACGTCTAACAGATTCTAAAGTTTAACGCGCAAGTACGGAAACACATCCTAAAATTGTTAACGAAAAGAGAACAACCAAAAAAAACAAAGTCGCAAGGAGACCTAACCCCTAACCTCGCCAATACTTGCAGCCCTACCGGTAGTAGTACCACTAACACCACCCAAATCCATCACGATCACGCCACGTGTCACATGGGGAGTTAAAGGTTATCAGATGATATCTAAACCGAATTAAATATCTAAATCCTCACTCCCTGCTGCGTGCGCCTTATAGAGTTTTTTTACTCCGAATGTACCTTTACCCTTGTTCTAGGAAATATATCCAAAGACCCAATCAAATAGAATTTTTCTAAAAATGCGAATAAGGGTAACTTAAGTAGTAGAGGTAAAAAAAAAAAAAAAACGAGTTATACTTGCACTAGTATGCTAGTATGGGGCGAGATACAGTTTGCAATAATTGCACTTAGGGCACCATACACCTGGCCAGAAAACTGGGTTGTATACATTGCAGGCCCGAACTGCAATTCGAAACTGTATCTTGGCCCGTAGTGCAATAATTACAACTCATTCATTTTTTTGACTCCCTCGTAATTTCCCCACGAGAGAAAAACTGTAATACCAAGCGCAACGACATACAGTTGGTTACCGTAATAAAGATCAGATGTCTAAGTTCATAAAGTGCATATTGCGGACATACTGTATCGTGGACTTAATTGACCTATTTTATTTCGAGTTAAAATCCCAACGAATTCAATAAAAATATTAACGGCGACATCCTATAGAAGAAAGAGAGTACGAAATGAAAAAAGCTGCTATAAAGGGAGCTGCAGCAGTCGCTCGGCGCCAATGGAAGAAGCCGGAGCAGCAAACGAGACGGGATGGACATAGAAAGGGTAACTAAGAGAGAAAAAGAAAAGAAAAAGAAACAAGGGTAATCAATAGTGAACTGGAGGGGCAGTCCGGTCGAGATGGCAGATATTACGCAGAATCACACACAAGAGAAAGAGAGAAAGAGGGGAGGTGCAGACTTAAAACGCAGGCTCGATATGAGAAGACCGGTCATTTCTATCCAGGACTGATTTCCTACAGCGAAACCAGAGAATCACTACAGCGCCACCTAGGGTTAAGGAAAACAGGCAAACTGCGACAACCACGCCAACGATCACGCCCACACTAAGACCTCTATTCGATTTCGTTTGGGCAATTACCGCCGAAGTTGGGGGCGTCTCGGTGAGCATAGTACTGACACGTGTACTGCTGCCATTATGCGCCGGCGATGACGATGATCCCGTTGCTGGCGATGACTTTATCTCTGGGTATGTCGCTGGAGACGGATTAGTTGATGGCGATGGCGATGGCGATGACGATGACGACGACGATGACGATGATGGCGATGATGACGATGATGACGATGATGATGATGATACCGAACGCGATGAAGGGGACTCTGCTGATGAGGCTGGCGATGATAATGATGACGATTCCACCGATGCTGATGATGGTGATGATGATGGGGATAACGATGAAGATGATTTCGTCGATGATGCTGTCGATGCCGATGCCGATGACGATGATTCTGTCCATGGCGAAAATGACGGTTCTGTCAATCTTGCCGATGGCGATGGCGATGATGATCCTTTCGATGGTGCTGTTGATGGCCACGGGGATGATGATGATTCGATCGAGGCTGACGTCAATGACGATGGCGATAATGATGACTCCGTAAATGGTGCTGTCAATGGCGATGGCAATGAGAAGGAGGATTCGTTCGATGGCGCTGGCGATGGCGATGGATGCGACGGACTACTGCCTGTCGGTGCTGCTGATGTTGGAAACGCACCGCTGCATTGGTGCAGTCCCAGCTTGTCGATTGACAGCTCGAACAGCTTGCCGTTCTGGATCGACACGTACAAATGACTGTCATCGTTGTCCAAAGCAACCGCGCCGATCATGCATCCTCCCGGGAACTTGAAGGTGCATCTTGCGACGGTCTCCACGTTAATCGCCTTTCCTCTCGGCTTGTCTAAAGCCACCCAAACGACGTTCATCGCCCCATCGTCGACGAAGAACAAGTTGCATCCATCTTGCGTCAGCACGGGCTCTCCCAAGTTAACAAGCTGTGCGAAGTTAATCACCGGCACCGGGTTACCCACGGAATCGGCCATCACGGTCCCAGTCACCCGGTCGATGGTTCCGCTAAGTGTGTTAAATCCTAGAACGGAAGCGTTAGCTTTGTCCCTGGCGTATAGGTAGCTCCCATCTTGGACAAAGCTTCGATRTCCGAAGGAGAGGGATGARAGCTTGGTGTCGTTCGGGCATGCTACTCTTGTGAAATCGCTGAGGAAGTTGCCCGGCGACTCGCCATCCATCGCCGAGTACACAAGGCAGCCACGTCTCCCCAGGTACAGAATCGTGCRGTTCGGATTGAATGCCGCGAACTGACAGTCTACGYCGGAGATGGGTTGAGCGGTTGTGGAACCATCCGTGGTGTTGACGAATGCCAGACCTTTGTCCAATAAGGGCAGAACGAGATGCCGCTCGCTCCGCGACAGATCGAACGCCAAGTAGTCGGCACTTTCCGCAGTGCCGTTCAGGCTTCCCGACGTCCATCTCAGAGTCAGCGGAAAGGAGTCGCCTTGCGCGTCCCCAGAGCTGGCAATCGCGCGCAAATCAGCCTTGTGCAGGGACCGATTTCCCCTGGCATGGTTTGCTGTAGCACTCAAGCATCCATCCTCCTTTATGTAGAAGAACACCCCCCTCTCGGAGGTAAATAGGACGCTCCTGACCCACGTCAAACACTGAATGTCACCCGGCGAACGACCAACGGAACTAGTAACCGTCAACACTACACGGGGACTTTGAAGAAGAGACCTGTTTGTGATGGACAGACCTGTCGAGGGCGCCTGCAGCCTTCTCTCTCCTCGCACACTGTCAATGCCACGATGAGCGCAATCCGATCCTTCTTCACCGCACTCCCTCCCTCTCTGCGTTGTCACGACTCCATCTTCTCCGACTACCACTCCCACTTGGACCGGCATGACTGCCATCATCATCGCCATCATCATCACCAGCATCGTCACCATCGCCACCATCGTCACCGTCAGCATCATCCACGAGCTCAAGACGCGAGGCCCCATGATTAATTGCTAAAGGGTCTGGAGACGGGAAGAGGAAGGCAGTCCACGGAAACCTAGGAAAACGAGACACCTAAGAGACCTAGGAAAACGAGACACCTGAGCTTCGGGCGATTTCTCACAGGAGGGCTTCGAGAGCCTAGAAATCGGCAGTAGGAAGAATGCGCCCAGAGAAGCCCCACCGCTACGGCTCAGAAAGCCAGTCAGACTCACCCCGAACAGATCTTTGAAAAATTTACAGGCGACGCAACTACGGCCGCCTCGGCAGCGCTAGTTCGACCAGTTACATTTGCTTGTTACCTCTGCCTGCTCTATGACAAGACGTCGGCGCGTCAAACACGAAGGGACGACCGGGGGAGAAGAGACTGAGCGCAGGGATAGAGCGGCGGAACGGAAGGGGAAGCAGGGAGGTACATACACACGACTCACAAACAAACATGTACGAGCGCGCTTTAAGGTGCGCCTCCAAGAGAGAGCGCGCACACACAGAGAGAGAGAGAGAGAGAGAGAGAGAGAGAGAGAGAGAGAGAGCTGTCTCTTATACACATCTAGATGTGTATAAGAGACATCATTAGTAGTTGGTTTACTCGTCAAGTTCCATC